TTTCCGTTGGATTTTAGCTATTCCAACCGCCGTTTTTCCTACGAATTTTTATACGTAGGAATATCCGTTGGAATAATACTTATTCCAATGGATATATAAAGAATTCCAACGGAAAATTTCTGTTAGAACGTAAGATGTTTTTTTTGTAGTGATAGTATATCTATTTTAAATTTTTGCCAATTCAAACTCGAAACTGAATATAAAATAAAAAAAACATACACAATTGGTCAACATGCATTTTTTACAAGCTCTAAAGTGAGTTGGTTTTCTTTACTTTTCCAATATCTTTTATTTTCTATGATCCCCACAAAAAGTTGATGCTCACTTTTTCTGTAATACACACTTTATAATTGGTCTAACTGTAACTCCAGAAAACTCAGTTGTGGATTGCCTTATCCACTTGAAAATCAAATTCGGTATCGGTTAGAAACTGAGCACATAACAAACATGTATGTTTTCAGGGCATAATTTCAAAATTGGTCCTATAATTTCAGTATTTATTTTCCAACTTGTAGCTCGTTGAACAAAGCATAACATCAGTTTAAGTGCATGTACGATATATATATAAAAAAAAAAGAATATATCCCATATTCTCGTGATGACCTGAAATCACAATAAAACATTCTGATTCTTGGCACGTAAGTATTCTCTCCAATAGGAGTGCATCCCCAATCCTTCTAGTAAAGCCGGTATCCAGTAAAGCATATTTTAGGGTTTAGCTTTTTCCTTTTCCATCAGTATCGTTCCTCTTCTCCGTTTTTGTTTTCCTATTGCGACTCTTCTCCCCTCCCCCTTCCTTTTTTTTTTCTTCTTTTCCCCTTCATTGTGCAGCTCCTTGTGGAGTCTCAACGACCAGAACTCTGATTTCCTCACTAGCATGGACAACCTGGAGCAAAAACTCAGGTCATTCTCTCTCTCGTCCAAAGAAGCTGGTATCATCCCTATCCAAGATGAAGACATCCGATTTAGCGAAGATGAATGCAATAGAGGTCTGTTTGGAAAAATTATCAGGGACAAGAAGGCAGGGTTATTCGGCCTTAAAAGATCACTCACTCATATTTGGAATCTCAGAGGTTTACTCACGGTCCGAGAATTAGACGCAAATTTCTTCCACTTTCTATTTGAATATCTGGCGGACAAAAAGAAAGTAGCTTATGGGAAAAATTGGTCCTTTACAAACCAGTACCTAATTCTCCGGGAGTGGGTAGAGGACATATATACATTCATATCACGCCTGTTTCAAGTAGATGGATATTTGGGTGCAAGTGGCATATGAAATTGGCTCCGTACTGATGCAAGGCTCAAGATAGGCAGAGCTTTTAAGAAAGTTAATGATGTAATTATTGGAAACTCGATTTCTAGTTTAGGCAGAAGTTTCAAACTCTTGGTGTCCACTAAACTTGATAATCCAATCCTGAGATGTGCAAATATTCAGCTCAAAGACAAAGTCCAACGAGTGTATTCCAAGTATGAAAAGCTTATCAAGTTGTGCTACTACTGCGATATGATTGGCCACATTAACAGAACTTGCTCAATTAGGGCACACGACATTGAAGTAGGAAAGGTCCACGAAGGTCAATTTGGTGACTGGCTCAAAGTAGCAGAAACTCTCATCTTCAAGAATAAAACAACTCCCTCCCCTTCTCCACAAGATACTTCTCCTACCCCATCACCCTCCCACAAAAATTCATCCACTCTTGCCCGGACTTTTGGGAGTGACTCAAAAACATCTAAAGGTGACAAAATCCAAATATCTACAAACCAAGCTCTTATTGGTATCCTAAATCAAGCTGCCCCTCTCCCCCTCAACCCAGAAAAACCCCTTTCACAGTATCTTTACCTCCTGCACACATGGAGTCCTTCTCCCATGACCCAATCCTTTTACTTACTAAGAAATATATTGATATCCAAACCACAGGTCTTTCAGTGCCAAATGCTGACCAACCATTGCAATATTTGGACAACACTCCATTCTCCAGCCTAGGGAAATAGAGAAAAAAAAAGGACCAGAAGAACCCAGGTCTTTCCTAAAGGAAATGCTAAAACAAGGCTGATGGGTCTCCTCCTAGATCTGGAGTGAACAGGTGGAAATGAGCTCCGATCTGCTCGAATAAGCTCCAAATTGTCCTTAAACCACTACGAACACCTGCAAGAACTCAACACCAGAAGTGTTTCCGGTGAAGAGCCTCCGACGCTCAAGTCAGTGAGAAAGAAGAAGATGAGCTATGCTCAGTAGGAGCAGCAGCTGAAGAATGAATGTAGAGAATAAAAGTTAGGGTTTGGAGTTACCTTTGCTCCTTTATATAAGGGTAGAAACGCTTACTGGAAATACCTGAAATGCCCTGGCCGACTTAAATGGATTGTCCAAAATGCCCTGGTCGGTTCGCATTTCGCCCACTCCTGAGTCAGCATTTAGATTCCTTCTTATCTCATACAGATTCTCTAGCTCAGGGGCCTTACTACGATATCGAAGTTAATGTGAATCCTCAGAGGTCTTATAAGTCGATTCGGAGCTTCTTCGAGTCGACCTAAGGTCACATTTATATATCTGAAGTTCTCTGAATGCTTATTCGTCTTCTAGCGTGTAAGTCAACTTATACTAAGTCGACTTCCTGAAATCGTCTTTGGATTGTCCTTAGACTGGTGGTGATTCTCAGATGACCGATAGGCCATGTCGACTTTGGAGACATCGTCTTGACGATATCCTTAGCAGCATCTGTCGAGTCAAGTAATTAACGTCTGAACCGGGCTATGATAAGAAGGCTATATCATCTAGTCCCCCCCAAAAATTACTCTAAGCGACTTCGAGCTTAAGAGTAAATTTAGTAGGCCCTATTTTTCTTTTGTCAATGAGTCGTTTCGTCATTGTTATCAAATCTCCATGTCGACGATTCACTTGGTTTAATTAGGACAATTGCGGTCTAACCCTACACTTAGGAACTTTCCTGAGCATATCCACTTTCATCATTTTGAATTTCAAAAATTTGGGCTAGGATGTGACACGCCGCCCCCAGTTTACTTTTGCCGCCTCGAATGCAGTGCGCCATCTTAACCATCGGATGTTCCTTTGATCTAGTGGCTAGGGTTTTGTTATTCTCCATATAAATACCTCCTCTCCTCCTTTTTCATCACTTTTCACATTCCTGCATCTTTCAAGCACTCCGACAATCAAGCTTTCCATTCT